TGCCCCTCACGCTTTGTAGTGGCTGACAGCTCTTCTTGTGCCGAAAATGTCAGGCCCCACTGAGGATAATGAGAGGCCAGGTAACCACTGCCAAGATCAGACTTTCTTCCAGTTTTCTTCTATCCCCACCCACAGGACCCCAATGTCCACAAAATGCTGTTGCCCGCCCACCCAGAAAGTTGGACCTTTATAGCAAGATCTATCTAGTGAAGGTCATTGTGGTACTGTGGCAATAATTTATTGGCTAAGTCTCTATCATAGGACTAATGATCTCTTTTCTCCTCATGAAAAAAAAAAAATGCTTGGAGATTGGGAACAAAATCAGCTTCCTTGGATCAACTCATTGGCAACCAATTAGCTGGCCTTTACTTGTGGGAGAAAGTATCGTTTTTGCCTCTGTTGCTGACACTTTCCCCTTTGACACACCATGCAGAAGTCGCGGGGAAATGACACTTAGCCCTTTCACCTACATCTTCGCTGGCCTTTGTCTTCATGCTGCAGATAGAGCAGTTTGAGGCCAGGTGGAGGTGTTTTTAAAACAGGGTCCTGCAACCCTTTCAGAGCAAGTACTGGGACGCCACAACCTTCTCTTTTATGGGCCTCTCACAGCAGTGAACAACCTGTGTCAGTCCTTTTGTGAAATGAATGTGGGAAATTATGCTCAGATGAACTGGACTAAATAAAATAAAACCGTAGGAATATGTGCACCTGAGGAGTGCATACCTGGGATTCCACCCCTCCAAGGCAGAAGGGAAGTTCCAGGCCAGCTTGAATTATGTAAGATCTTGTTTCTTTTGTTTTTGTTCTGCCTTTTTCCCCCCTGAACACGGGGTGCATTCAAAAGGATGTTGTCTCCCGCCAACCAGTCCTCAGAAACACAAGAGGCAGATACTGCATGGCTGGCCATGGCTTGACTCTTGAACCCCCGCCCCCCATTCCATCTGCTAAGCTCAGGGACAGCTACAAAACACTAAATAGTTATGTGTGTCCTGGAGCGAGCTTTTTCCATCCATAAAATGGGGGGTGGGGGCTCTTCCAGACCCCACAACTTCTGGATAGGAGGCAGGAAGCTGGCATGCTTTACTCAGAGAGAATTAAGTTAGCTTCGCTGGTCCTGGAAAACTTAGGGTGCCTAAAATATACCACAAATTCTCTAGCACATCAGCCACGTGAAAGATTCTTTTTCATGTGTTTTGGGAGATAAACAAGCAGGCCTCTAGCTCTAATATTTTTTTTCTTAATTCACAAGCTTTCAAGTCTGCCCTGGATTTTTGCAGAAAGTTGGGATGAAACCCCCGCTTGATTACAAAAAAACAAAAATAAACAAACAAAAAAACCTGAGGTGGCTTGAATCCAAGCCCTTCCTTCTTCTAGGGCAATGTGAGCACAAACTCGTCTTCTGGCATCATTATTAAGAGAAGCAGATCTTCCAGAAGAAAGCACCTTTAGGGGCCTCTCAGACCAAACCAGAAGCCGCTGAAATCTGGCAGTGGTTCAAAGGTGAAGTCATTCATGCCCCTCTCAGCATTCTCGGCAATTCCTCCCCCAGCTTTGCACATGTCTGCCACTAGGTGGCAGCACAGGCCCAGGAAGGAGGACTCCTCACAAAGGGCTCACTCAGTTCAAGAAGCCAGTCTTAGCCTTGGAGACTTTGTGCAGGCCCAGGCTGTGCCAGCAAGGGGGAGGGAGAAGGCAGAGGAGGTGGTCCACTTCTACCAGTGCAAGAGAAAGGTGTGCAAACTACTGAAGGTGGAACATTCCCCTAAGGAGCCCAAAGGGGATGAGACAGGGGATTGGTGGGGGGGGGGGGGGGGGGGCGGGGGACAGGGGCGGGGAGGGGGAGTATGATGGGAAAGCCTTTCTAGTAGAAAACTGGAGCCAAGACAGGACCTTCTGGTAACTGTATCCAGGTCACAGTCCCTTCTGGAGCTAAGAACTCATATTTCAGATCCCACCAATAGAGAAGGCCAAATGTTGACTTTCTGTAAAAGTTGCTATGTCGATACTTAGTGATCAGTTACTATATGTTGATATTATGAGACTTTATTGATGTGTAAGACATTACCTGTGACACCTCCAGGCTCTTAGGAGACACAAACCAGCTAGCATGTGAGAAATCAGACTGTGTTCTCAGGGTTCAGTGGAAATGTAGACCTTAATTAAAAATCATTAACAAAACTAGTCTATATCCCCCCCCACACACACTCACTTGAACTCTCTCTTCAACTGGATTTCACCCTCAGAAACTTCCATGAGGGATTGAGAGCTTTGTTCACTCCCTGACATGAGAAGACCAGCTATCTCCGACTAAAAGAGACACCTGCTTGCTTAGTGTGAAGGCTGCAGTGGTCCTGGGCAATTCTGAATCCTAAAATGGCCCTGGGGCTGCTGGATGGAAGACTCGGTGATGGGGGAGGGCAGAGTCAGGAGCAGGGAGGACAGCATTACCAGCAGCTCCTGGGGCTTCACGGAGTTGTCGGTGTAAATACACAGCTTCTCAGCCGTCAGGGGGATGGTCTCTTTGAGCTTAGAGGCTAGGAACATGCACACTGCGCCCAGGAGCTGAAGGTGGGTCTTAGGAGTCGGGACTCCAGCCAAAAAACGGTCCAGATAATTCATGGCCAAAGGAAAGACTTCCTCTTCACACTTCTGTTCCTCGCAGACCTACAGCCAGAGTGGGAGAGGGTCCGAGAAGACAGTGAAAAAGTAGCATCAGAAACAGGGAAAAGAACGACAAAGTCTAACCGGTGGAGACCAAAAGAGTTTTTTTTTTTTTTTTAATTTTTTTTTTTGTGGAGAGGGCCCCCGCCCCCCCCCCCCCCCCCCCCACCCCCAAGAAAAACCCCAGCGCCCCCCCCCCCCCCCGCTCCCTCTGGCTCCTCACTCTCACTCACTCACTCTCTTTTTTGGATTTCTTCATCTTTTCAAAAAATCAATAAAAATATTCTGGAAGCTCCAAGGGTCTACTTCTTGGTCTCATTCGGATCCCCAGACCCTATCCTATCATTCCCGACAATTGAAAAAAATGTTCAGGGTGGTCTGGGTCCCCCAGGGGGGGCTGTTGGAGGGGTGGGTGGAGACGAGAGGGGGGAGGGAGGAGGAGGAAACGCGCCGCAGCCGCCGCGGCTGGAGCCGGGGCAGGGGGGACCGCTTCAAAAAAAATTATTAAAAATCGAGAAAAAAGCCTAGAAACGTCCGTTGGACCTGAAAACCCCAGAGAGGCTCCAGGCTCTCCGGAATAGAGGTTTCGGGTGTCATTAAGGTCGGTATCTCCTCCCCAGGGGCTCTGGATCCCGATGGGGAGACTTGCGGAGTGTCCGGCTGCGGCCCACAAGGGCAGTAGCTAAAAGGCTGTACCCAGCTGGGAGCTGAGGGAGACGGAATCAGGGAACCCCTCTCAAGGAGGCACGCGGGACTCTGATCTCTCATTTGGGGGTGTCCCTAGCTCGCTCTACACACACCTCCTCCCTCGTTTCCTACCCCACCCAAATCTGCGCGCTGAAGAAGCAGTCAAACTGTAAGTAACCTTGGTGAACTGGGGGCTGGGAGAGAGGGCACGATCAGAAAGAGGGTGGCCACGATCATGGGGTGCTTGGGGGAGCCGGCGAATGCTCCCAGTCCTTGTAACTGGAGTTTGCAAAGCAACATGGCGAAACCACGGCAGGTCCAGAGCTGTGCATACGTGGGCACCCTGCTCTCTCCGCAAAGATTGCAAGCAAGGCTAAAGCAGCGGTTCTTTCAGATTCCCTAAAACGCACGTTTTTCCAGTGTGACTTCCGGGGCTCTCCTGAATTCTCTGTTTCTCTACCCCCCTACCACCTCACCAAAGTGCCAACGCGGAGTCCCGACCACACGCAGGGGACCGGAGGCCAGGACGGCTTTGCCCCAGCCTTGCGGGGAGGGGAGGGGGGGGGATCTGTCTTTCACTGTTGGTGTGGATTTTCATGTCCCCACACCCTCGGGAGCCACACTGAAGGCAGCGGTTCCACAAGACAGGTCAGGATGGGGATAGGAGGATGAGGAAGCCACATGCAGACACACGCGCGCGGGATGCCACCCCCCCCCATACACCCCCCGGACATCGTTGTCTCGCCCAAGTTTTCCCTCTCCCAGTTAATCTAGCAAGGGACAGAATTGTGTCTGGTTCAAGGGTGTGGGTGCCCAGGTAGGCCGGCGCAGGGGTAGTCCTTTCGCAGTTTTAGGGTCCCTATGTGTTGGGGGGGCAAAGCGGATAGGACTGCCTCTTCTTGAGTGTCGCCAGAGCACCCACCTCTAGCATCCAGGTGGCCACCATCCTGCGCATGTATGGCTGAATGTCCTTCTGCACGCACTTGAAATAGGAGCACTGCGGGAGGTAGCGCTCCTCGATGGTCAACAGGTTCTGCAGGACGCGGTCTTCCAGCAGGTTGCGGTCCGGCACAGCCCTGCGGACCGGGTCCACCTCGCAGCACAGCAGCTCCATGGCTAGTCGGCGACCACTCGGTCCCGACTGTGAAAGTTTTATTAGTTTTTGGAGGTTTTTTTTGGGGGGGGGGTTACTCCCCTTACCTCCTTCCTTTGGCTAAATAGGTAATTTGAGACAGGGAAAAATGGCAGAGAGAGAGAGAAAGAGAGAGAGAGAGAGAGAGAGAGAGAGAGAGAGAGAGAGAGATATTGAGACAAGGAGGACGAGTGGAAGGTGGGTGAGCAGTGCCTCAAGGGCTGCTGCCTCGCACCGGTCCTTCCCTCGGAACTGCCTTGCTCTCCCCAGCTCGCTCTCCTCACTCTGAGGCAGTGACGCAAGCTGGCAGGGCAGTTAGATCTCCTCCCCCTCTCCGGTTCCTCCTCCCCTTTCCTCCTCTCCCCTGACGTCCCTCCCCTCCTTTCAATCTCTCCCTCCCTCTTTCCCTTCCCTCCCCCCCTTTCCCTCTTGTTATTAAGGAGCACAGCAGCTGGCCTGACCAAACTTCAAACAGGATTCCACCCCCCCCCAGTTCTCTAAGGCCCTCTCCCTCTATCCAGGCCCGCATGCTAGGGGCCCGGGATAGGGGAACCCACAAAACCCACGGATTCCTATTGATTCTCTATCCTTTCTTACATTCTGTAGCCATACCATGGGGCGGGGACGGGGGGGGGTGCCCTCTGACTTCGGAGGCTTGCAATGTGATCGGAATACTGCCCACTATTCACGATCCAGTGGTAGAAGGTAGATTGATTGATTGAACATGTGGATGAGCCCAGACAACTTAGAAGTAGACCCTCTAACTGAAGATTGGGGGAAGGCTTATTTGAGAAAATTGTAACCTTGCATACCCAGGGATAAAGGTTATAACGCCCCTGAAGCTTAGGCTCCTGATGTTTCCCAGCCCGGAACCACGTCTGTGGAGAGGAAGAGAAGGAAGGGGTGGATGCTGGAAGGAGGGGGCTGTTTCTGGGGCCTGTTAGAAAATGACCCTGGTGCAGAAATCCTCCATTTCTTGGGGGCGCCATTGGGCGGCGCA